TTCATTCAGTGCTTACTGAGTGCTTACTATGCACCAAAAAGAACTGAATCTCAACTTTCTAAGATGTTGGCTCTCTTTAGACCCTGTACAAATCCTAGGTATATTGCTCCTTCCAAAATGTAAGAGCCTGCCACCAATCACTGGTAACGACAGGGATGTATTTCCAACTATGTCACCCTCTGAATGTATGTAATATTAATCATTCAGCACTCAAACATCTCTTTTCCAAAGAAGTACCCAGGAGCCCATGGGTATAGCTACACTTAGACAGCCACTGTGGGCTGCTGGGGAACTTAAACAATCCTGCCAACAGAAGACTTCTCCATATATAGAGAAGAGGGAGTAGGCATTATCATTAAAGAGTGGGCATTATCAGATTTACACACAAGTAAGATACCACAAAAGTGACTTCAAAGTCTGGAGAGAATTGCACACAAATCTATACAGTGAAGTAGAAGAAAGAACAATGACAATTTCCCTTATCTCCTTGAGAAATAAATGGATGTATTTGTGATTGTCTCCCATGTACCTAGGGAGGGAGTAATTTTGGAGGTATGTGTTTACAGTTCCAAGGGTTAGAAGGCCCAAGGTCTGGCACCGTAAAATCAAAAGGTCGGGCCTCTTATTGAGCCTATGATGTTTTCAAGGAGGCAGCCTAGAAAAGGGAAGGTAGGAGGAGAGTTATCTGTCTCCTCAAAGAAAATTTCAATATCTTACCCCTACAAGGCCTGAGGGTCCACACTGTAAAAAGGAGCCACGTTACCAAGTTGGAAATCACTGGATTTATATGGGCATCAGAGTGGCTCTGTGCAGGATATTTTTCACAGCATATTTGTAGATATACTCACATATTTTTAAGTTTCCAAAGAAGAGCACATTTGCATTCAACATTCATTTCATCTCCAGGTTACTCACCATCAACACACAAAAAGTAGCCTCAATAGGAAATGATGGGTGGAGAAAAAAGAGGATATGGGGCTTAACAATCCTAGAAAGACAGGGAATGACCGAAAAAAGATGGCTTAGAAAAATACCAAATACAAATTTTGCTGGTTTCACAAGTTTATCCAGAATCAACACTCCATTCAGTGTGTGTGTATGTGTGTGTGCATGTGGCATGAATAAATATTTATACTCTTTAAACTAACATTTCATGGTAGCATAATTTATTGACATGGTGGTTAATGCTTTGGTTTTTCACTTTGTTTTTATTTTTCTCTTATGCAAGAATGAAAAGGAATGAGAGTTACATGTAATTAGGTCTCAGTATTTTCCTCCCGTCATCATTTTCCTCACAGTAGTACATTTGTAGGGCCCAATGCCCTACAAGTTTGCTTAAAAACAACTTCTTTCTCAGGCTTTTGTAGAATGTGAGAGGATCTCTACCTCCATAGCTGGTTGAGTCAGCCAGAAAGTTTTCAGTGCGATCACAGCATGGTGTGAGGGATAGCAGCTTCTTAACTGCAAACAGCTTGGATGCTGCCATTTGAGAGAGGAGCTAGGCCCCTGTTAAAGCTGAATTTCCCATGATGCACCCTGAATTAGCACTGGAGCCAGAAGCAAGGCCAAGTTCACGACATCTGCAAAAATGCATTAGCGGAGGGTATACAGTTCTTTTTTATTTTTGTTTTTGGCTATCTCTGGAAATAACACTTCAGTAGACTTCAACCTTCATTTTGCCTCTTCCATTACAACTGAGCTTAACAGGAAGTCCACCCTGGTCTCCACAATAGTGAATAGGCACCTCAGCCCAGAACCCCACAAATTGGACCATCTCAGCGCTTTCTGACTTGCGTTTCCTTTGCTTTCAAAAGGCGAGCTCTTCAGCTCCAGCTGCAAGAATTATCAGCTAAAGGCAAGCTGTGCTAGCTGATGAGCGTTGCTCTGCTGGGTCCCCTCTCACCTCAGGTAACACTGGCTGAGGCGAGAACAGTCCCCTGGAGATTTTTTATCCCTGTATTGAAGGGGAAGCCAGAGGGAGGATTTCCATATAAAGAAGATTTGTTGAAATATTTTTTTAAAACAAAACTTTCAGGCATTGAATTCTTGTTGGCAAATAAATTCCAATATCTAGCAAAGCATTCCCTTTACTTTCTCTTAGCACAATTCCTTTCTAGAAATCAGAGTAGAAGGATTTGTAGCAGGCAGGCCACACCAGGATTATTTCTAAACATTAACTTTTGCCTACTAAGGCATACTCTATGTGGGAGCTCAAAATAGAGGACAAACTCTCTAACTAATGAAAATTGTGTGAACCCAAACTCATCCCTAAAAATAATTTTCTAAATAAATCATCTTAATCAGCCAATGATCATTTTAATTTTTCTAACATTTAATATTCTGGTCAAAGAGGACATGATTATCTGTGATTCTATCTGGGTATTGGGATTATGAAAGGCAATTTTTTTCATACTTTTCTATATTTTCATTATAAAAAAATAATGCATGCTTTTTGTGGAGAGTGTTTTTTTAAATTTATTGTGAATGTTTGGGCATCGTTTATTTATTTATTTATATTTTTAGTGTGGCTAGCTTTCCCAAAGCTCACTGCCTCCAGCTGTCTCAGTCTGAGAGAGGTCTCAGGAGTCACCTGAGTCTCCAGATTTTCCAGGCAACCGATTGTGGCGCCCACATGGGCTTTATTGCCTCCTCTGGCTGTAATTTAAGAGAGACCTCAAACCTGTAGAATCAGATACCCAGGGGCAACTGAGAAAGGAAGAGGCTCACAGGGTTTATTGCACTCGCTGGAAAGAGGGCAAAATGACTGAGCACAGCCAGGATACACCAAGGGTGACACTTTTATATGGGGATCGGCAATTTAATTTGTCTTTGTATTTTATGAATTGCAGGCAGAGACGCATTTGCAGGGAAATACATGGGCATTTTGGAAAGCGATTAATTAAGCATGCAATTTATATGAAAACAATTTACTGCAGGACATTATCAGGGCACCCAAAATGCACATGCAATTTCCTTCCTTCTAATTTGTGGACATAATTTATTTTGATTGTGCAATTAGGAAAGGAGACCTTTATTAATTTCGGTGCAAGTCTAAAGAACCAAGGCAAATTTAGCAGTGAAAGAGTCTGCCTTAATGGAAAAGAGGAAGGCGTGGCCTTGGGCTCTTGCCTTGTGGATAAGCTCTCCGAATCCAAAGCCATGGAATTATATCTATTTATGCTCCAGACTTTCTTCAACAGGTCATTTAACCATTCTGAGCTTTAGGTTTTTCTTTTGCAAAACGGAACTCAAAAAATCCTCCTCCTGGATTGGCATTTAATGACAGGTTTAGGGGGCCTGTCATGGCTCACTTAGTCCCATGGTAATGGCGGCTGCCCCATGCCTGGCCTCACTATGCAGTCTCGTCCCTCTTCAGGCCTCCCCTTCAACATAAATGCAATTTATCTTGCTGCAGGCCATGCGATTTCATGGCCTACAGCAGGTTCACTGTAGTGTCCTCACCAACTGACTATAGGCCCACAGCTGCCAAGAATGAGGAAGGCAGACAATGGCCTGAAACAGATTTTTGTTTCATGAGAAGCAATCTGCCAGTGTGGAAATGGAGCCCATGACCCCATTAGCCTAGTCCTATAACCAAGCAATAAATTAGTCCAAATCATCAAAATTCCCCCAGCTATTTTCAAATCATAAAGACCCCTAAGGAGTAGGTGTTTTTTTTAGGAGTCGGGAAAAACTGTCAAATCATCAACAGCAAAGTCTTTTGAATACCTGCCAACAGCATAAAGAAAGAGCTCATGGGCCTCTGATCCCTACTCCTCTCCCCACACCTACTGAACACAGAAGAGGAGGAAAGGGATGAAGGACACCAACATGCACTAGATATAGTGCTAGACTCTCCATGTTATGTCACGCCAGGGCCATAACAGCCCCATAAAGCAGGTATGTTTATTCCCATTGTGAAGATGGGATTCAGAAAGCTTAGGTGGGGCTCAGAAAGGGTAGGTAACATCCAGTTCCAGTTGACTACAGAGTCCATGCTCTTTCCACTAGACCACTGGAGCTGTGGGCTCCCCTGGGAATGCAGAGAGGTGGGGCTATCTGACCCTTTCCCTCTCGTGAGCCTTCCCTTTAGCAGCTGAGCCTTAAAAACATATTTTAGCCACTTTCTTAATTTCAAGTAGCACTTAGCCTGTGGGTGCTGAAAATCACCACTTTGTTCAGTGTGAGTCTGTGAATTTTCCCTGTTTTTTGATAAACCACCACCTTCAGTTTCAATAGCACTTGATTATTTCCTAAGCACAGTAACAATAGTTATTTATATATGGTTATATACATATAATATATATAATATCCTTTATATTATATATTATATATAATACAGTTTATATATATAAATATATTATATGTTATAAATATATATTTATATATATAAATGTAAGTGTATATATATTTATTATATTTATATATAACAGTTCTTTACCAGAGTGGGCTCAAAACAAACAAGTACACCTTTCTTTCATATACAAATTTCAATGCCACTGAATCCTCACATACCCGGATTAGCAGATAATGTAAGCATTCTACACTCACACAAAGCAGCTCCCTCCTGGATCTGATCAGAACTCCCAAGTATGCATACTTAGTCCTCAGATTTAGTCTATATTCTCTTGCTGTAAGAGTGAAATTGATGGTGCAAGCAAGCCAAAGAAATGCCTTGTTCACTGCCAATGTTGACCCTGTTTCCAAATCAGGAAGGTGCCACCAAGAAAAAAAAAGCTTTGTTCATTGGAACAGGCACTAGAAAAATCTGGGAATTGGAAGCAATGCCCATTTGCTTCCACTGTGGCTGTTGTTACTGGGACACCATCATTACCCAAGCCAAGGGGGTTCCTAAAGCTAATGGCGCCCATGCCATCCCCTTAGTGGCTCCTTGGACCCCACTGCCAAGTTCAACCACAGCTGTCCCTACCCAAACCCAACCTGGAGTTCCAAACATTATATTCCTAGCTCACTCAATTTACCCATCTTTTCCAACTCACCCAATGTGGACCACATCCTGGAACAGAGTTTCTAGCATCAGCCAGAGACTATACCCAAAAGGGATTCACTTGCCAACAGTCTTGGCCCTGGTGCTGACTAGGTCGCACATTCACACTCCTTCCTCGCTTAGGGCGATTTCCTCCCAGAGCTGTCGATCTTTCCAGAGCTCTGATCTAGATGGGCTTTGCCCCAGTCCATCAGAACCTCAAAGGCTCCTTGGGCACCTTGTAAATCTGTGGAAAGACACAAGAGTAAATGGGATTTTGTCAGATATCTAAATACCTTAAAGGGGTCACTTGGTGATCCTTCCCAGAACCACGTGAGTCTGCCAAAGAGAGAATAAATTTTCTCTCTTGGAGAAAGAAAACTTCTCACCACTCTAAAATGACAGGTATTACAAAGTCCGTAAACAGAGTTAAAGCCCTGTCTGTCCGGGAACTCTAGAAATAATCCTCTTCCTCTGTCTAGGATTGTTGAGAGCACACCTTCATGAGGATACAAGAGATATGCAGGCACAGTTCTCGAGGTGGCAGCATAGAATACAAATGATGATTATCCTGATGACACAAATGATATCACACACAATTCACTGACTGCTACTGTGACACTGTACTAGATGCTGCATGTATAGTATCTTATTTAACCATCAAGATAACCTTACAAGGTAGATACTACCATCATTCTTGCATTGCAAATGAGAATGCTTGAGCTCAAGGAGGTTAAGTGGGAAGCTACTAAATGGCAGAAGGAGGATTAGAACCCGTATCTGTAAGATTTAAGCGTCTGTTTTCTTAATCATTTGTGAATTTTGAGTTAGAAACAACTAATTTGGATAAAACCTCTATTGCCCCTTGGATCTAACAATTACTAGCTGGATGACCTTTGGCAAAATACACTTTCATTAATCATCAATTTCCTTATATGTAGTGCTCACTTCAGCAGCACATATACTAAAATTTCCTTACATGTAAAGAAACTAATAATAACCGCTTTCCAGGGTTCTGTGAGAAAAAAAGTGCAATAATGTGAAAAGAACTTTGCAAATCATAAAACAGGTGAAACAGGAGTTATATTTTTAATTTGTCTCTTGATAACCTGGGCAGCAACATGATGAAAATGGACCCTGGAAATCTTGATGACAGTGGCCATTACTTTGATTACTAGGACTGCCTTCATGCTTTGACAGCTTGGTGAAGTAGGAGTAAGATGCCTCCAGCACACGTAAGACATAGCAGACATCTGTCACTTGTGGCTGCCAAAATCTTTTGATCATTTTTCACATTGTGAATCCCACCTTCTTAGCATAAATTCAAAAAAACAAAAACAAAACTATTTCCTAATCTCCTTTGCTATTAAAGAGCAGATTTATGGTTTAGGTCCCACCTTTCAGACCCACCCATAAGAGAATGATTCTGAAGAGACATATGACAGGACAGGTAGTGTCCTGGTCAGAGCTGGTCATTTTGTACACTTTCTCTAATCTACATGATCATCCTGAAAGATATGTAATATCACTACCATTCCACAGCTGAGAAATCTAAAGTTCAAAAAGGTTAAGTGAATTGTGTAAGAACACCCAGCCAGTTAGTACAGAAGCCAGTCTTCATAGAAAGTCTCTCCATTTCCAAAGCCCACCATTTTCCCCCTGGAACACTCTAGAATGGATTGTGGACTCAGACCCAAGAATTTCCAGGTTCCTAAGGATCAGCCTTCCCACAAAGAGGAAGAAATCACCTACTTTAAAAGATTTACCCGCTGCTGTCTAATGACCCCCCAAAAACAGCTCTAGATATATTTTAGTATCCATGTAAGATATTTTTATGAGCAGGTTTATTCAATCTGAATGAATAAAAATTGATTTTCCTATTACCCATTCTACTGGTTTAATGCATTTAAATAGCAATCTATCTAAGAGGCAGTTCTAAGCAATGAAAGCTAAGTGGCATCTATTTAAGGACCAACGTATTCAGATTTCAAAGAATTGCTGTTCAACAATATCATATTGAAGTTTTCCTTATTTTTTTTTAACTTCAAGGAAAATGACACTGAAAAAGTCACAAGTGTTTTTGTTACCATCTAAGTGAGAGGAAAGAATGAAAACGCAGGTTTATAATGAGAGAAGGGAGTTGCTAAGTGGGAGACCCTACAGGTGGTCCCAGAAGGCGACTACCTCTCTCCTGTTGCCAATGGTTCCAAGGATGGGCTCAGATTCCTAAGCCAGGAGTCTCCACTTTTATTGCCTTCACTTTGCAAGAAGAAAATAATATAACAAGAAAATTCTGCCCAGGCCAAATAAGATATCTTGAGGAAATAAAACCAACCGTTTCACCAGCACAATCATTTTGACAGTAGTCCTCAAAGTAGGTCAGCTGTTTCTTACAGTCCGAGAATCTGGAGATCCAGGAATACTAGTATAAAAGAGAGGGACATGAGGTGTGTTGCATTGATAGGCTGCATTTCCTTGATTCTGAGATATCATTGATTATCAAATGCTCCTTTGGATTATTAACAGCTTTTCAGAGAAAAAAAAAGAAAACATTATTTCTGTTGCTTTTAATATTAACTCCAACTTCCTGAAGATAAAACATTTAAAAAAATAATAACTCTCTTAGATTCAAGCCAAATGACTCTTACTAAGAAAGGCTGAAGCACTGATAGTCTGTCATTTTCTATTTATTCCTTTCTATTAATTAAGACTCCTTGGGTTACAAGTAGCTAATTCAAGCATTAAACCAAAGGAGGATTTTATTATAAAGGTGTATAGAGGTGTCTCATTAATTCCAAAGGCAAAAAGATAGCCAGATCTTCGTAAGAGACAGAAGCTAGAGACTGGAAAATTGGAGAATCTTAAGTACCCTCTCTGCTTTCCTTGTCTCCACCCCTTTCTGCACAGCTTCTTTACTCTTGTCTTTCTTTGAAGACAGGCTCCTTTCTTTCTCATCCATATGGTAGTATTTGACCACCACAGCGTGGTTTACTTCTCTAGGTTCAAATTCTCCCATTCCCAGGAACGAGATGCTGATTGTCTAACTTGAATCAAAAGTCCTCTGTGTCTTGGAGAGGAAGGAAGTAGGGGAAGTTAGCCCATATGTAAAGATATGATGCCAGGGACCCACCATGTGAATGCAGTGAGGCAGGGAGAACATACTCTCAGGAAGGGGAAAGTGGCTCACAGGCTGGGCAGTTTGTCCCTCAAGTCCATCTCCAGGACCCACAACTCTCAGTTCAGAGCTGCCTTCTCTTCCCAGCAGCTGACACATCCCAGATGGACAGCTTGGGACACAAGCAAATGGCTGTATGTTTAGACAACCTCTTGAGGAGGGGCAGCTGCTCACAGTGGCAATAAGTCTTGGACATCAAACTTGGATGTCATACCATCCTTCTAAGCACATAACCTTTGAATGAACAGTGGCATATGTAAGAGCAACATTCACTCAGTTTTGCTATTTCAATTGCATGTAAACCAAGACACAGAAGCTTTGCTTTATTAGTAAAAGATTCTGAGATTTTGCTAATAAAGACTGGGGTGCCTGAATACAAGGTGAACATGAAATTACAGACCCAAAAGCCAGTGGTCAGTACTTTGCCCCAGAACCAGCATTGCACCTGCCCTTGAGATTCATCTCCCGAGTCTGACATCTGTGTCATATGATGATGCCCTCAGTTTGGGCTTTTTTATTTTCTGATACTACTCCCAGAGGACCAAAAGAACCCCCACAAAGCTCCGATAGACACAGGGCCTATGAAAATGGGTCATTTTCAACAGTCAGGGTAAAGATTACCTAACTTTAATGCCTGGCATATTTTTACCTGTAATTGTTTTCTTTTACTATTTGGGAAAGATTGTCTTCTGATATTCTTGAATGATTACTTTTTATCATTCTGGGAACTTTCTCTTTCTTTTCTTTTTTTTATTTTGCTTTGTTTAGGATGTTAAAAATATCCGTTGGGATACCAGTGACGTTGGAATCAGGTTAGGAAGAAATCGGTAGGTGTTTATTTGTTTTGAAGGACTCCTTCTCGCTGATCTGGTCCCACATGCATGGGTCTCCCCAAAAGCAGTGACTGGAAGGGAGCAGCTGTTGCCTTAGGCTCCAGGAGTTCTCACTGCCTCCAGCCTTCTCTTTGGCTCTAGAGAATCCCCTCGATTGAAGAACTTTGCCTTGTACTTGGCCCTTTACACCCTGCCTCAGAAAAGGAATCCGAGGCTTCCTTGAGTCACACGCAGTCCCAATTCCCGTGACAGGGGAGCTGAAAATCCCTGATGTTGACATTTGTTCTTTGAGTAGAGGTCCTTCTATGGAAATTAGTGGTTATATTAACGATTGCTTGAGGGGAAGAGAAAGGAGACAGGATGGAGAGAGCCTGTCATATGGAAACTGTCTATGGCTTAAGTAACTAAAATGGGAGCACATCTTGGTCCTGTAAAAAAAAGAACTAAAGCCAGATTTTTTATACTATCTCAGAGACAGTTTGGTTCCCTTGCTGCATTTTCCTCCTTTAGGGTCGAAGGTCTGTAGTCAATAGGTACACTTGCTAAGCTGACACCATGATCCGAGGGGGATGTGTCACCAGTCAACTATTTCAAAAGTGGGTTCTCAGAATAGCATCGCCTTTAGTGAATTTTCTAAGATCCATTGCTCAGAGCTGCTTTCATATTGACTAACTCTAAGTCTAATATCTGAGACCAGAATACCAATTTAGCTATTTACAGTGAAATAAATGCCAAGAGGCTCATACACTCAGCCCACTGTTCTGGGCACTCTCTACCTATAGGCATATCAACTACACAGAGAGCCAAGTTGCAAGGACAAAGTCACCTGATGAAGAGAGAATCAAAACAAGGAGAGTTTGTTTTACGAGTTGCATGTTTAACAGCACCAGGCTGAAATTACTCAATGTGTCTATCTCTACAATCGGAAGATCATTAGACCAGGCATATCAAATCCTTGGGCAGGTTCTCCTCTCTTTCATTCTCTCTGTCCTAAAATGGTTTTAGCCATTTTCACATCTTGACATAGACTTTCTTTTGATATGTTAATAGTTTCAGTAAGTTTTCTGTTTTGTCTTATAGACAAAGGAGACTTTCTCTTTCTTACAGAGAAAATTCATTACCTGTTTGTTTTAAATATTTGACTCTCAGAGAGCAATCTTATTTCTTTTATTTCCAGATTCTTGGAGGGTGTCTTATTATACATACAGGGACTTATAATGCTATCCATTTGTGCTACTTTGAGAATCTAAGACCCTGAGTTTCATCTTTCAGGCTTCCTATGCTAGATGGTCTGTAGCCAAGAGTCAAAGAAAATTAACATCACCAGCCAGCCCAAGTCTTTGGGATGCAGTATGCTCTAAGGATCTCACGTTCTTGTTTGTGAATCCTTCAGTTTTTCTTGACTTCACAAGAGGTTGGTGGGATGACTAACATAGGATAATAAAAGGGGCTTCTACGTAAAAGGCATCTCCTACAGTAGAGACAAGAATAAATTTTGCCATGGAAAGGTACTGGATCAGAGTGGTATACCAATGATTGGAAAGGGAAAGATTCGAGGCTGAAGAAGATAAAAGCGGAGTAAATGGATGGGAGAGCGAGAGTCCAGATGGCCTCAACATTCTGTATTCAGTTTTCAAACAACTCACATATTTGTGGGTGTGTGTATATTTCCCTGCCAAATTGGACAATCATCTCAGGTGACAAATGACTTTTCCAAGTCACCTCTCAGCCAACAGTTCCATTTCAGCAGCCACATTGTATTTGTATACACAGCACTACTTATGCAATTTTTCAAAAATTTTTTGTACTTTCCCTATTATTTTATAAATAAGGGTAAACAAGAAATATTAAAGAGCTGATACTAGCAATAAAATGCATAGATATCATATGCTTAATTCAGTTGAGACAAAGAAGGAACTCATAAGGCATGCCAACAGCAGAAAATCATTAACCTGAATTGAATTCTTGCTGGACATAGCCAGCTGATTGTGTGTTCAGATGCAAAGGAAAATAATAAAAAGAAAGAACATCTAAATGATACTAAAAATGTAATTCTGAAGATTGTATACAAAGGAAAGATGTAATTAGGAAGTTTAAATATTTTTTGCTCTTTATGACTGAGATTCTCGTATAAGATGTGTTTGTTGTTCAACTTTCATATATTTCACTTCCTTGCATGTTTTCAAGTATATATTAAATTTGAAAGATATTTTTCAGTGTCCTCTGGAAAGGAAAAAACAAATTAGCAAAATACCCAGAGGTCTTGAGGCTACATTTCTATTAGCAAGGAAAGGGCTGAAATGTGGGTGAGCCATATCCAAACTTTCTGTTACATTCTGCTAGCAGAGCCCTGCCTAAAATGAGGAAAGTGAGGGAAAATCTCTGTGAGGGAAGATATTTCCCCCTTAGCAACAGTGTCGGTTGTGTTAATAAAGGTTATACACAGACTTTGCTATCACAGGAGCCAGCTTGCGCTGTCTCTGGAGATGTGCTCACATGAGGAAGCACAAGTCAAAGAGTGAGCCTCTTCTTAAGAACTAGTCTCCTCACCGTGGCTCGCTGATTAATGAGTACGTTGGCATCAGAATCTGAAAGTTGCAAGATAATGAGAGAGAGTAGAACTAGAACCAGCATTACCATCTGTCTGAGGACTACTTTTATGCCTTTCCTCCACTATGTACTCAAATCCCAAAATTATCACATCTCAAAGTTTGTTCATTTAAGCAAAAGCATAGCATCATCATGAATAGCAGCAGTCATGTGCAAAGAGAATTCTAGGAAACTGAGGTACAGAGAAGTCAGGCCATTAGATTCACATGTCCCCAGACTCCATATTAGCTTCTGCTTTAGTCTGTGACTCTTAAAAAGATACAAATTTCTGGGGCCAGCCCACTGGCATAGCGGTTAAGTTCGCGTGTTCTGCTTTGGTGGGTTCACCAGTTTGGATCTTGAGTGCAGCCCTACTCACCGTTTGTCAAGCCATGCTGTGGCCATGCTGTGACAGACGTCCCACATATAAAGTGAAGGAAGATGGGCAGGGATGTTAGCTCAGGGCCAATCTTCCTCAGCAAAAAGAGCATTGGCAGTGGATGTTAGCTCAGGGCTAAACTTCCTCAAAAAAAAAAGGTACAGAGTTCTAATGTTATTTTTTATGTCACTTAATACACAGGTGTATACCCCATGTTGTGTTATTGTCACCTAACATTTGAAAAACATATTACCATACCAAATGCCGGAGATGTAAGGAAATGGGAGCTCTTGTATACAGCTAGTGGGAATACAAATTAGTAGAAACACAGGAGAGCAGTGTGACAGTATTTATCCAATGGAATCTCCTTAAGCAGTAAAAATGAATGAACTAGAGCTAAATCTATCACCATGCATACATCTCAGATATTTAATGTTGAGTGAAGA